CGGGCTCGGGTGTCAAGGGCACCGCAGCGCAGCCCTTCGACGGCGGTGCGCTCACCCTCGGGTGGACGCATGCACCGACGAAGGGGCGGGCGGCGGCACCGCCACTTCCTCCGGCCGCCACGGCTGCTGCCTGCGCTCTGCTCTCTGTCGCGGCGGTCAGAGAGGAAAGGGAGGGAGTGAGACTAAGCTAGGGTTTTGGGGGAGCCGGCTGCAACCGCTGTTTTTGTTCGCGCGAAAAAGAAGCTGAGCCATCGATCTTGATCGAGCGGCTGCGAACGGCCGGGCCGGCTTTCGGCCCATGCGGGCGCGAGTGCTGGGCCAGTTTTCTGGCCCAAGCCCAGGTTGCGGCCTGGGCGCGGGGGAGCGCGCGAGCGGCCGTGGGCGGCTTTGCCGGTTGGGGCGAAGACAGTAAAAGAAATGAGTCAGTTTTTCTTTTTCTTTTTCCAGTAAATGTTTATTTCCTAGAAAATGGATAAATGGCTTAAAGTAAATAGAAAAAAGAATTTTTCTATGGGTAAAATTCATTAAATTAAATTATTTTTCCGCTACAATGTTAAAGTTAATGATCTTCTAATTAAACTCGAACCAATGGGAGAATTTAATTTGAAGAGTAGTCAATTTTAATTAGTAAATTATAATATTATTATTTTTCTGACCAACGTTGATAATAACAATATTATAAGATTTAATCATAAGTTTTCCATGCATTAATTCTATTTCTGTCCAACGGTAATATAGAATTAGTGTATAAGAATATTATATGTTTTAATTTTGACCAACATTGAAACTAAGGCATGCAATTGTTATTATTATGTTTATGTTCTCACTTTATATGAATTGTGTTTTCAAGTGGATACAACTTAATAGGTTGTATCAAAGAGATCCCCACTCTCAAATGTGACAACTATATGGAGTGAAAGAAAAAGATTGACCTGGCCTTCATCTTGACTGAGGTGGACTGGGTAGTCACCTCACTGTGTCCCACTGAGCCTGTGGCACCGGTGAGGAGGACAAACGAGGCTGATGCCGCTTGGGCAACTAGAGAGAGGGATTTTGCATCCCAAAAGATGTCCTATGACCTTGAGTATAAAAAGTGAGTCACTGCCAACAAAAAATGTTTGGCTGTGATAAAGAACATGATTGAGCCTGCAATTGTGGGCTTAATCCCAGAGTGTAACATGGTCACCGAGTATCTCGATAGAATAAAGAGTCAGTTCACTTGCTCTTCAAAGACATATGCTACCCAGCTGATAAAGTAGCTGGTGACAGAGAAGTACTCTGAAAATGGTGGCATAAGAGAACACATACTAAGGATGAGCAATTTGGCATCCAAGCTAAAACTAATGGATCTGGCTCTCAAGGAAGAGTTCCTTATTCATCTGATTTTTGCTTCCTTGCCTAAGGAATTTGATACTTTTGTTGTCAACTACAACATACAGCCCGAGAAGTGAGATTTAGAGAGGCTCATGGCTATGTGTGCAAGAGGAGGAGTGAATGAAAGCTGCAAATGGTGGCACTATCAATTATGTGAAAGACAACAAGAAAAAGAATAATAATGCTAACTCCTCCTCAAAGTCAAAGGAAAAGGGTCCCATGCTGCATCAGCCTCAGCAGAACAAGTTCACAGTAGAGAAAGACTAGTGTCTCTATTGCAAGAAGACGGGACATTATAAAAAAGATTGTTCCGATTACTTAAAGATGATCATGGCAAAGAAAGGTGATAACATTATTACGTTCATAAATAAATCTCTGTATGTACAGTATTCGAAATCTACTTGGTGGATTGACTCAGGTGCAATTGTTCATGTTGCTAATTCCTTACAGAGATTCCGTTCGACGAGGACTACGTAAAGAAGATAAAGACACGTTAAAGTTGCAAATGGAGTCCGAGCAGATGTTGAAGCCGTTGGTGATCTTTCTCCAGAGCTTGCTGAGGGCTTCACACTTTTACTTACAGATGTACTTTATGTTCTCTCTTTACAGAGAAACTTGATCAGTATGAGATCGATCAAATGAAAATGGTTCCATATGCTTTAGCTGTCGGAAGCTTGCAATATGCTCAAGTATGTACGCACCCTGACTTGGCATTTGTTACCGGGTTACTTGGCAGATTTCAGAGCAATCCTGGAATAGAACACTGGAAATTAGTAAAGAAAGTCTTGCGTTATTTGCAAGAAACGAAAAGCCTCATGATGATGTATAGAAGATCAGATTCACTCCATACAGTGGGATATTCAGATTCTGATTATGCGGGAGATGATAGAAAATCCACGTCTGGATATGTATTCACTCTCGCAAGGGGGGCTATTTCATGGAAAAGCTCAAAGCAAACTGTCACTACATCGTCCACAATGTATGCCGAGTTTGTAGCGTGTTATGAGGCAACGGGGCAGGTGAACTGGCTAAAGAAGTTTATACCTGGTTTGAAGGTGGTTGATGACATCTATATGCCACTTAAGTTATACTGCGATAATAATCCAGCAGTACAGTATGTCCACAATAATAAGTCAAGTAGGGCTGCCAAACACATTGACATAAAGTTTATGTTGTGAAAGATAAAGTCCGGGATTATATCATAAGTTTTGAGCATATAAGTACCAAAAAGATGCCCGCGAATCCGCTTACAAAAGGCTTACCACCCAACGTGTTCAGAGAACATGTAGTCGTCATGGGTTTAAGGAAAAGCCTATAATTCCTAGATAAAAGAAGGTCCAAAGTTAAGTATCTATTTCAGAACAGAGTGGTGTGTTGTAGTTGTTAAATCTATCGGCAATTGACCGTGACGATGAAACATGCTCTATGCGCTAATCTGTAATGGAATGAACAAAAGTAAATGATATGAAATTGAAAGATGGTAGAAGATCAATGGAGAAATTGTTAGATTGATCTCTAATCCTAAACTGGGCCCAACAGCCCAGTTGGCCCTTTGCTCCGTGCCCTGATCGGGGGCGTCCAGCCCACTATGGCTGGAGGGCCCTGTCACACTGCGCAATATATAAAGGTGGGGGCCGGCGGCTCTAAGTACGAGGTTCGCTTGAACCAAGCTCCCCACCGAAACCTAAACCCTAATCCTGATCAGACAGGGGTGCAGCCAGTGACGGGAAGTCACCAGCCGTGCCGCCCCGCTCGACCGACATCGACGACTTCATCGCCCTCTTCACCGACCGTCGCTGTCCTCGCGCAGACACCGACACAACAACCATGGCCGACGTCTCTGGATCAAAAGCCTACGATAATCGGTAACCTAGCACTACTCCTCCCTCTCTCTCTAATCTCGGTCTAGTAGTCCTACCAGACCATGTTACCCGGCTAGATCGATGACAATGCGATCTTAATAGATATTAACATTCTCGACTCGGTTCTCCACTGCGCACGCACCTCGTCGGCACCCGAGCTCACACGTCGGTGGGTGGTGGTGGCTCCCGCCACCAGGCTCATCCTCTCCTCACTGGCGCAACTAGTGGCCGCCGATTCCTCGCGTCACCGCTCATCTCCCGTGTAGTTGAGGGCGCTAGAGGCCGCGCGGGAGGCGCTGGACGACGAGATCCGGCGTCTATGTGTGCAGACCGAGCAGTGGCGCAAGGCGATGGAGGTGGCGGTTGCGCGACGATGATGACAACGGCAACACGTGGGGCTCCCTCGCCACGATGCTAGACGATGGTGACGACGAGGCGTTCGGTGGCAAGCGAAAGGGTGCCAGTATCCGTGTGCTCTGCGACCTGTGGAAGAAGGGGAGCAACTAAGATGGTTTGGTGTTTTACTGCATTTGAGGTGTTCAATTTTTTGCATAAGTTAATGGCATATGCAAAGGTTAAAAAAGTTTTTCTTTCTAAAATGGTCATTTACACGTGAATCAATGAAAAACACAGTGCTTTACAGGCATTTTTTTTTACCAACCAAACGATTTCCAGTTTTTTCACCACTCACGGTCCACAACAGCTTTTTCACAGCTCACAGCTCAACTAAACACATGCTTAGGTCTCTCCACCTAATGCTATTGTGTTCATCAAATTCCTAGCATGAGTTCTTGCAGATCTAAGCAGTGTAACGACCCCCTTGGCATACTTTTCAGTTAGCGTGCCTGGTGACTATGTGTTAGACAAAAACTATTTAGAGTATATATAAAATTCAGGTATAGAATTGATCCAGCTTCCTGTTCTTTTGTCGCTCCTGGCTGCTCACATTCTTGATTCTTGCATCTCAAACTACCTAGCTTGAGATGCAGCAATCAATCCTTCTGGTGGTCCTACACGATTCTCTTGCTTGCTGCACGCCTCACTTGTCTATCACACCATATCATGCAGTGCCACCTCAAAAGCTTCAGGGAGGGGAGGAGAGATTAGAGAACCCTAGCCCCCTTCCCTTTTCCTCCATGTGAGCCAGCCAGCAGAGTAAGTAATCCTGCACTGCCTGTGGTTGGTTAGTTGGTGATGAGATCGATCTATGGTGATCCCAAGAACAAGTCTCAACTTTTCAGCAGTGTGTCTCCTATAAAAAACTTCTGAATGCGCGAATGCGAGAGGGACACAGTGTTGGCAAACAGCAATGCAAATCTAAGGACCACTCCTTTTACATGTAATTATATATATATGCAGCTCAAAACTAACCAGCAGAAATGCATGTGAGCTCCAGTCAGTGAGCGTGCGGATCAGACAGCAAATCGCCAAGAGGGCTAGACAGCAAATTGCCAACAGTAATTCAGACACTAGTATTTTTTTTAATAAAAAAAATACTATTTGTCGTTCTGGATCAATGGGTGTATACATGAGATGCTTTACAAGAGAGACAAGGTTTCCAACATTGTCCCTTTGTATTGGACTTTTTATCAACAGCATGCATCAGCGGGACTTTAGTTACATACATTGCAGGGCCAACGTTATTAGTATCAGGAAGGATTAATCAATGGAAATAGCAAGCTTCAATTCAGTGATCGACACGCTCCTTGGAATGACACCTCAGACTAACTAGTAATTAAGCAATTCCCTTCACGTTCATGCCAATCACATCGCCGCCTTCAACACCATCGTTTCGGGGAGCGATTCCTTCAGTTTCCCTTGCGTGAATCTCCTCAGCATCTCCAGGGAAGCTTTCGGCTGGTCCATCGGAACCATGTGGCCCGCATTGTGAACCTGCATTTGCATAATATGGAGGAAACGTATACTTGTGAGTTTTGTTTTATCTTCGCATATACCTACACTTGCTGTTGGGTGTTGTTGATCTTCAGGCAGGAAAAGGGTTCGAAAGCTACAGCCAGTCAGGATGAGTGGTCCCTTTTTTCATGTTAGTATCATGGTGCATTTTGTGAAGCACGCCTACGTTTAGCGGAACCACTCTTAATTTTGCCAGCATGAAACATCTCCTTTTGGGGAAAGAGCTGAGTACTAGGAAACAAGGTAAAGTAAAAAGAGTGCTAGATCGCAACCTTGAGGAAGCTGAGTGGTCCATGGCTCTTCAAAACTCCAGCTTCTGCACCGTCTACTACAAACGATGAGTCAGAAGAGGATACAAAGTCTTTCTGGCCAGACCATTCCATGGAATGTACCCATCTCGAGTTTCCTGCCCAAACACAAAGACATTCAAAATGGTATACTTGGTGGCTTAACTGCAAAACCATTAAAGAATCTGATGATGCACAATTGCACATGCAAGAGAATTAACGATAGAGGGTAACTTTTAAGTAGGATACTTGGGCCTTGTTTAGATGCATCCCAAATTCCAAGTTTTTTCACTCTCTCTCCATCACATCAATTTTTAGCCGCTTGCATGGAGTATTAAATGTAGGTAAAAAAAATAACTAATTACACAGTTTAGTTGGAAATCACGAGATGAATCTTTTGAGCCTAGTTGGTCCACGATTGGACAATATTTGTCAAATAAGACGAAAGTGGTACTATTCATCGGGTTGAAATTTTTTCGCAATCTAAACGAGGCCTTGTTACATCAATATTGAATTATTGATTTTGCGTCAAAATATTGAATTATTGATAAAGGTCCTCCATATCTGAAAGTTTGCAACTTGCAGCTGAAATGACACGTTAGCATTTTGTACTTTTTTCGAAGGGAAGATGTCTTTTCAGTTTCCCAAGATAGAACAAGACAAAAAGTGCTACAATAATGTTGTTGTTGTCCCTTCTACTTCAGAAAGGACTATTTAGCAACAAATATTTCATAGAGAAACATTTCTTTTTCTTTTACGAATTGACAAGCAAACCAATTTGATAACAAGTTTGCATTATTTGCAAACATGACCATTCTAGATGGTCCACATTTATTTGTCAGCTCATTGAGATTCATCCACAACCCCATAATTAGGCAGACAAAAAAAAAACTGTCAGCTCGACTGATTGTGCTTATAATGTCTTCAAAACTGGTCACGGGGCAGAGTGCAAAATTCATTCATGCAGCTGAATTTTTACTGTGCTAACCAAATGTTGCGATGAGAAAATAGATCTGATGAATGTCAGTCCTACACAATTATTTTGATTTCACTGCTAGTAGCCTTGTAATATTAGTCATTCCATACCACATCAATTAATAATATGGTTTCAAAAGATAGATCTATGTGCAGCTACTTCCACATAGAAGGCGTGTCCATAGTCATGATCAAACAATAGATGAAAGACTGTAAAATAAAATACATAAATAGGTAAACAAAATTATGGAGCCCCCTGCTTACCGAGCCAATTGCATATAAGGTCATACTCCCCAGCATATATAAGCACGTTAATCCCATCCTCAAGTAGAGCCGGGATGCCGACTTCCAAATTCCTCATCCAGTCTGTGAGCATTGCTTCATAAACAGTAGTACTGCAAGACACAAAATCAATGTCACCAACTCCAAGTGCCTCTTTGACCGCTTTGTCACCAAAGAACTTCTCCAGGTTTGAGAAGTCATAGCAAAGTTTCCCTTCACATTCCTTCCTCACGTCATAGTACTGCAAAGAGGCCATTGATGTGTAAGGCTTCTCGACCTTAGTCAACAGCAAGACGTTCATATAGCAGGGCATTGTTTACTCACATTCTTTGTCCCAACAAGCTTCATGATGGAGTTGAAAATATTATTGCAGACCATATAAGCTGCCATGCATGATGCTTTCCCATCAGTACCTGAAACATTAGCAGGGTTAGTACTGGGTATGAATCCTTTTATTTAACATAGAGTGTGAGGATGTGTCATTCCAATGAAACTTTTAAGTACTACATTAATCCTCTTCTGCTAGATTCAGGAAGGTCACCATATGTTGATGTAAAAGTTTTTCGATGATTACTAGAAAATAAAATCGTGCAATGTTCACAAAGGTTTCTTTGTAGTACAAGTACTCACCACACATCTTAATTGCAAATTCACATGGTGGGATGAACCTATTGATCCTTTCGTAGTCAGATTTCTCAATAAGATTCATTTCCAACGCATAGTCTGTGTAGGCTTTGTATTGGATTTCTGGATCAGTGAGACCATTACCGATAGCAAATCCCTAGAATAAGATTAGTTAAGAATTCACAAAAGTTAAAAAAAGGGAACTGAGAATGGAAAAGGGTTGAAAAGTTGATGCAAAGAGGCTAATACTCGTACCTTCAAGTTTATATGAATGCCCTCGTTTGCTTTGTTTCCTTGGTGAACTCTGCTTGCAAATGCTGGAATGTAGTGCCCAGCATAAGATTCTCCAGTTATATAGAAGTCATTCTTTGCAAATTCTGGGTGCTTCTTAAAGAACACCTGAAATGGCAGTTTAGAGCAATTAAATAACACCCATGAGTCCATCACTTGTGTTTTTCTCAATTCCACCCAACACAATCAAGCAATATACCAATAGCCCAATTCCCAATATATGATTCTGCTACAGGAACCCTTCCCTTCCATTTGGTGCCAATTGAGATCCAACTTTTAGATCACAATAGCAAAGGTGATTCATGATCTTTACTACCTCTAATGAAGCTATGCAGCCAAATTTGCCATAATCCTTTATACTTTTATGCAAAAAGGTCCTCTCAGCCTTGGTAGCATCTAAGGGCACCAATCAGCACAGTGGACTTGCTGAAGAGAATAAAAAGCTTATATAGGCGTATATATGCCTCCACTGTTGGTGCCTTACCACCGTGCATGATTTATTTCTGAAACCTTCTCATAATAAATAATTTTAAAAAGCCTAGACACTAAATTTTCAATTTGACCCATTTATCCAGGCCATGGACGGTGGTGTGGCCAAATCCTTGGTTGAGCAGCCAATGTAGACATCATGCGAAGGCCACCATGGCAAAAAAGGTCAAATATGTAAATCTTGTGGGATAAGGCTTATTATTAATAAAAAAAGGTTTTAAAAATCCCGTGTGTGATCATTCTTTCCTGAAATAATTAAGAAAGTTCCCCTTCTGTATTTAAGGAATGTATGTATAACATGTTATGACTTCTTTACGCTAAATAACATCTTAGTTTCAGCTTCTGTCCTCAACTACTATTTGAAAATGAACTGACCGAACTTCTATGGTGTGATCATACAGCACATGGAATCGATGCAATAAAAGAGAGAGAGCACAACAGCCAGACAGAATTGATACAAAAGTAGCACCTGAAGAAAGTCATATAGGTCATTGCTGACACCAGTTTCATCATGACGAGTATCATGATCATCAGAGCTGTAGCTAAAGCCAGTTCCGGTTGGCTGATCAACAAATATGATATTTGAGATCTGCAGACATCAAGTCATATCAGAAACAGAGGAGGTCAAGTCAACCTATAGCAATGAAATTGACATGATCTATGTAATTCAACATAAGGTGGGAGCTGTGCAGCAATAAGAACTTTCTACAACGATATACTGAATTTAGTACAATCTCTTTCCAGAAATAGGGAAACAGCTCTCTAAATAGTTAAGCTGCAGTACTATAGTAAGCATGCTTGCTGCTGCTGGGCTTGTAATTGTAACTAACTAATACCATGGAGCTATTGGAAGTTGGTCGATTAAGGGGCCCAATAAGTAGATAAAGATAGCAAACATGGTGAGCTGGTTATAAGCGTTTACCTAAAGTTAGTAAATATAGATAGTAGTAGTAACAAATATGCCTATTCTGGTTTATGGACAAGAAAATATTTTCTTCCACAACTGCTAGCAGACAGAAACATTGAAAGTGACCTTTTCACTAACGGCTTAACTTGACTATTGCTACTCTAGTCAACATAGGTTGAAGTAGTTAAGGTTTGTTGTTTTCTTCTTAAAATTGATTGCATAAAATTGATTGCAAGCAAAACTGGAATGTTCAGTTTGAGACTTGTTACTGTAAGTGACAACCCTGACGAGACAGGGGATCATAATAAAAGAGGTAGGATTCGATTACTTACTGTGTCCCAACCGAATTTGTTCCAAACAAGCGACATGTTGTTGGCGATGGTGAAGGGCCCGTTCTCGTAGAAGACGGCCAACTCGCTGCTGCAGCCGGGCCCTCCGGTGAGCCAGATCACGATGGGGTCCTCCTTCTTGCCCCTCGATTCGAAGAAGAAGTAGAACATCCTGCAGCAATCAAGGCACACAAAGCGCGTCCAATTCAATGTCGCAAAATTGCTCGTTCTTTTATTTTTTATCGTCAACCACACGCAACGCAACTCAACGGGAACAATCGCGTCTTGTTTGGTCTCATCAAACGCTCTGGGTTGCCGTTACAAACCAAAGATCCAAGCTTTACAGCACAATCACCTGGCGTCGTGCGTGTGCGGCAGGCGAAAGTAACCGGCGTGGTGGCCGAGGTCCCCGACCCCGTCGGGGACGCCGGGAAGCCTGACGCGGCGCTCCAGGAGCTCCCCGGGCGCCACACTGGGCCCGTCGCCGCCGCCCGCGCCTGGCCCCGCCTCCTTCTCCCTGGGCAGGAGGTTGAGCGCGCGGATGAGCCGCTCCGCCTGCGCCGCCGGGAAGGTGGCGTCGCGGGGCAGGCGGAGGCCGCCCTCTCCGGCGGCCGGCGCCGCGACGGCGACGGCGGCGAGGCAGAGGAGAACCAGGAGGCATGAGGATGCCATCGCGGGGAGGAAGGAGGATGGATGAGTGAGTTCGTGGGGATTGGATGGAATGGAAGTGGAACTGGCAGCGGTTTCTCCTCCGATTTATAGGTAGCGTCCGTCGCGTTGAATTGCGGTGGCGTTTGAAACGGACTAGCGCGAGAGGCTTCCTCTCGTCAGGTTTGGTGGTTTCAGAATTCAGAATGGCTTCAGTACTAAACTAAACTAAACCTTGCTTGCAAGCAGAGACCAAAGAGATTCCTTTCATTTGTGGCGTTGGGAAGATTTGGCGGACACCTACTACGATGGATTCATCCTGTAACTTCGAACTCTGTTACTATACTAGATCGCCGTTGCGATGAAGAACAACAAAAGGAAGAAGTAGAAAAAAACAGGGATTCTGCAGAAATTATCAAATTATTAGAAGAGTCAATCACTAGTAATTTTTTTTTTGGAAAAATTGACAGATTTTTCATGGTGATGTAAGTGTCATTAGTGTCAGTTCCGCCCACACCCGGGAACAACGAGCTCATCGTCATCATCAGGTATTCAGGTCATGGCGAGCTTTGAATCTTTGATGCATGTTTGGTGTGCTCCTCTTCTCCCGCCCTGCTTTCCGATCCATTGCAACTGGGTCTGTTCGCTGGTTGGTGCTGGTGCTGGTTTAGGCTGATTGGTGCTGATTTTTTTAGATGAAAACACTGTTGGCTGGCTGGTTTGGACTGGCTGAAACCAACAAACAAACAGGCTGTGAATATGCGGCAGCGTTTCAGTTGTGCCACCCATAACGATACTTTCATGCATTCTTCGTGCAATCCTCCACAGCTACTACACATACATACGCCATAGCACCTTTTTTTTTTCTTTCTGCAATCTGTTGTCCTAGTTTGACCGAACCTGCTGCTGCTGCTGCTGTCAGTGACTCAGGGTCAGTTTCACATGCTGTTTGGCAAAGCCTAGCTTAACATACTGGAGTATCATATACTACTACGGTGTATTATGAATCTCTCAAGGCAGCAGCCTTGCTTTTGGGTTGGCTTGCAAGTCTGGAGAAAGGAAAGGAAAGGAGATAATGGACGTGAACGTGATGCTGCTCCTCACCGCACCGAACTGCCAGTCCTCTGCTTCGCTTCATTCTCTGGCAGCATGCATCAGAGATTCAGAGCAAGCATGATGATGTATTCAGCACTTGATCTAGTACGTAGGAGTAGTAGTAGAAGATTAGCAAGCCGATAGCATGCTGCGTTCCGTGACGCAAGTGCCTGTGGCCTCGACATGAGCCTGCATGTTCTTGGTTCCGCTTCCGCCCCGAAGATCTGTGAGACCTGGACTGGACATATGCACATGTTGCTTGCACGCAGCATGCAGCAGGGAATCGATGGAAGGGTCACTGACTGATTGGTTGCTTTGCTTTGCTTTGCTTGCCGCTCCATCCATCTCGATCGGACACGATTGCCTGCTTTATAATTTGGCTCCTGTTGCTTCGCTTCCGCTGCTAGCAAACGCGATTGGCAACCCGGATATAACGCGGCAGCTCCCGTCCGTCTTTTTTTTGAAATAATAGCTCCCATCCGTCTAGATCCAGATAAAGCAACTCATCACCTCATCAGCATGATCATGTGGCCCGGTGTCAGTCAGCTCGATGGGGATTATCTGGGATCAAGATGGCTGTCAGTGTCGTCGTCCTCCTCTTATGCATGCACCGAGATGTGGGGGAAAAACTTACCATCACAGCATCTCACCATAATACTGTTTAGTTGGATGGACGAGACAAGTCAATTTCTGTCTGATTGGTAGGACGAGAGTTAGATAAGATTATAAGATGCACAAGTGATCCAAGACAATAGGCCGGTTACGGGAAGGATCCATTGTCTTCTATTTATTTACACCTAAAAAATTCTTACTATCATCGTTTGCGCCCCCGCCCGTTTACCTCGCTCGATGGAGTTGGAGTCCGTCTCAAATACGACAGCGATGGTTACGTTTTACTAACGCACATGGCAAGGAGCGAGAACCTCCAGATTTCTCTCCGGCTCCAACAAACTTTGGCGGAGGTGCGTTTGCCCTAGCCGGCCCTGCGTCAAGGCAGCCGAAACAGGCGCCGGGAGGCCGATGCACCTAGATGGCCGAGCATGTACGCGTACGGAGGTGCGTTTGCCTTCCCCCATCGGAGCGATCGAGCGCACCACGAAGCCGATGCCACAAGCTCGAGGAGATGGGATGGGCACTTAGGGCGGCCACGGTGTTAGATTGATCTCCATCCGACTTTGTCTAACGATCGAGTCGGACCCTTGACTTGCGCCCTGATCGGAGGCGCCCGGCTGTACTCCTGGCTAGTGGGTTCCCGTTGCGCAGCGCTACAAATAGGAGGTAGGGGCTGGGGCTGGGGCTCGAGATACGAGGTTCACCTCAGCCGCCAACTCCCCACCTACGTCCTAAACCCTAGTCCGATCGAGAGGGTGCGCTGTGAGCGACGGGAAGCGCCACTGCCTTCGCCGTCACCACTGGACCGTGCACTCCACTGCACTGTGTTCGACTACGACACCGCCACCGGACTTCACTACTACCTCTACACCGACGTTCACGTCCACACCACCGGAGATATGGCTTCCACCTCCGTCATGCCCGCTGATGGTCGGTACCCTTGCCTCTACCTCTCTCCCCTTCTCTCTCTAGTTTTGTTCTAGGTTGATCTATGTCTCATATGCCATTTTAGTGAAGTTGAACCCGCTGATCTATGCCTAGATGATCCACTAGTTCTATCAATGGTATCAGAGCCTACCTAGCGTGTAGATCTAGACCGGGAAAGAATTTAGAAGGAGATGATTCAAAGCGATGCGGGAATTTCCCAAACCCTAACACTAACCCTAGAAAGAAGGACGGTGAGGGGAGGCACCTACCCGGGCTTCTCTCACCGCAGTCACCACCGCCGGCGTTGCTCCGATGTCGCGCGGGAAGGACCACCCGAGCCACCGGCCGGCGAGGTCACGCCACCGTGCGGCTTCCACCTTGGACTCGGGGTCAAGGGCGTCGCCACAAGGCCGCTTGACGGCGGCGCGCTCACCCTCGGCGAGGGGCCCCACGGCGGCGCCGTCACCTTCTTCCGCCGGTTGCCGTGGGTAGCTGCCGCTGCTCTGCTACGCCAGAAGTGAGACGGAGGAGGAGAAGAGTGAGGCTAGGGTTAGGGGAGGCCGGCCATGCAAGGGGGGCGTTTTGTTCTCCCGATCTGTGCGCATGGTCGTCGGATCATGATCGACGGCTAGGAGTGTTGTCGGGCCGACTTTTGGCCCAGTGAAAAAAATTCAGCCTAGGCCCAAGTTACTGACTTTGGCGCTGGGAGGAAGGCTGCAGCGCGTCTTGGCTAAACCGAGCCGTCTTCATGGGTCAGGCTGGGCAGCGAGGCTGGCAGCGTCGCTCGCGTGAAGTTGGGCATGGAACAAATTTTGATGCTGGGCCAAAATGAATGCAAAAGTGATGTTTTCAATTTTATTATTTTCAGAAACAATTTTAGATAAATTTTAGTCAATTTTGAAGGTTTAAATCTCTGCTCAAATTTGAACCAACGGGATGATTTGTTCAGAGAGTAGTTAAGTACTTGTAAATGCTTCTGAATAATATTATTTTAAGATTATTTTTCATGTTTTCGCTGCAAAGATGATGCTTATTATCTTCTAATTAAATTCGAACCAACGGGAGGATTTAATTTTGAGGTGTAGTTATATTTTTAGTAAATTATGATATTATTATTTTTCTGACCAAAGTAGTTAATAGCAATATTATAATTTTATTTATGAGTTTTATTCATTAATTCTATTTCTGCCCAACGGTGATGTATAATTAATGTAGAAGAATGATGTTTTATTCTATTTTCTACCATCGGTGATATAGAATAGAACTGGAAGATTTAAAAGTTTAATGCGCATGTGTTAACCAGACCAACGTAGGGTTATTTTCATGCTCATTACTGTTGATCATTGTTTAATAATTTTCAGACAAAGATCTCCATGCTTTCATTCTTGAAGGCAGTAAAGAAAATAAGCTTGGTACTTGTGACTCAGAAGATGAAAAATGTAGGTTCTGTAAGAAAGAAGGCCATTGCGTAAGGAACTATGTTCTCCTTAAAGAATGGCTAGAAAAGAAAGGTAAGGAAGTTATTTCCTTCATAGATGAATCCCTGTATACAGATTATGCCATCAATACTTGGTGGATTGACTCAAGTGTAACTGTTCATGTTGCTAATTCTATGCAGGGATTCAGGGATATAACTAATCCAAGAAAAAGAGACAAAGCAATAAGAGCCGCAAATGGCGTCGAAGTTGATAAGGAAGCTGTTGGTCAACTCCCATTAGAGCTTAACTGTGGCTACTGTGGCTTCACACTTAGTTTAAGAAATGTATTTTATATACCCTCTATGAAGAGGAATTTAGTTTCAGTTTCTGTCTTAGACGATGATGGATTTGATTGCTATTTTGGTAATGGCTAGTCAGATTATGTTTAATGATAAATATGTTGGTCTTGTCTTCTGACAAGACGAGCTTTATTTGCTATCACTTTATGAGAATGTGAAAGTTATGAATACTGAGAATGAGAATACATCATTGTCTATGAATGCAAGAAATAAGCGAAAGAGAATTCATGATGTATCATTGAAATTATGGCACTGTCGTTTAGGACATATTTCGTGGGGGGGACTAGAACGATTGATTAAGAAAGCAATTCTTCTGCCATTAGAATTTTCAAATTTAGAACAATGTATTGATTGTATTAAAGGAAAGTATGTTAAGAAAATAAAGAAAGACGCCAAACGAAGTGCAGGAATTTTAGAAATAATTCACACAGATATCTATGACCCGTTTCTTGTTAAAAGTGTGGATGGTTATGATTCATTTATAACATTCACAGATGATTATTCTCGTTATGGCTATATTTATCCAATTAAAGAAAGATCAGAAGTATTGGATAAATTTAAGATATTCAAGGCTGAAATAGAAAATCAGCATAATTTAAAGATTAAGATAGGA